ATAGACCATCAGTCTCACCTGTACTTTCCGGTGCTGACATCCAACAGCCAGCGGCCGTGAGTGGCGTCATGGTCACAGGCTGAACCCACCATCCCATCAGCCACTGCCTCCCTTTTCGCTGTATCGGAAAGGGGTAACGAAGGTTCCTGCGGAGCCCGGGCTGCTGGAAGTGTGGTCGAGGGCTTGCTGCTTGGACGGACGGCGAGGGTCCATTGCGCCATGTCATGCTCATGCGCGTGGGCGAAGGAAGCGGAATAGTTCAAAGAGCCGCACCCAGACCGAACAAACAATCTGTTGTAAGGAGAAGGGAAGGAAAGGGTCGGGTGAAAAAGGTTCGTTAATAGCCACGTGATCGGCTTATTCACGTTATTTGGTTGGTTTTTGTATAAGCCGGGGGAGCACACTCACTCGTATAACCCAGCGTCCCATACGCGGTATGCCACCCGCCACCTGCTGACGTCGCCTCTCTCAGCCGTGACGTCAGCTCGCACGAGCGACGGTCCCTCCAGCTGCACCGCCAGCTCGAGCTTGAACGCCATGCCTGGCGGTACCGTCCACGTCGCAGGCCGTCGCACGGCGATCTCGAACGTGCACAGTCGGCCTGCGACGCAATGGCGACATCCGGGTCCGAAAATCACCACGCCTCCTCGTCCTCGGCTTTCATCGCTCGAACGACTACTACTAGTAGTAGTACTACGAGCGGTAGTAGCGCTAGCGTCAGAGGTGGAAGGTACATTATCATCGTCGGGACCATGGATCTGGTTTGACCACGAGGAGTCCTTTCCGTCATAGCCACCGTGATCTCCGGACCACCAGCACACAACCTCGCCATGATACGACTCGGAGAAATCTCTCCACGATTCCTCGCCTCTGTCAGCGGGAAATCCAGCTCTGATTTCCTCTGATACTGTGTCGCTTGAGACGCTCAGGAGATTGGAAAGCGACACAGTGAGGTCCCGGCTTCTGCAGGACCATTTAAGCAATGCGAGGACCGCGAGCGCTGCCAGAAGGAGTAAGTGGACCGCAGCGCGAAGGGACAAGTGAAAACCGATGATGCCTTTTCTATGGCTTCCCATGGTGCACACGGACTCCTAGATGTAGTGTTTGTAGATAGTAAAAGCATAACATCGGAGTTTCAAATATATCGGAGACGTGTGGCCTGCTAACCTTAGTGAGCTTATGAGGCAATGAGCTATGCCAGAACAAGGTAATCTCGGTGGAAACGATTTTCGGGAGTTACCTCGATTTCCGAAAGTGACGACGGATCAAGAGGGGCCCTAGAGCTCATCATGGAGCATCAGCACCACATCAATCAAGGTGCGCTGCAGTTCTGGATGATATTCAAAGCTGTATCTCCTCACCTCACCTCACCATTCCTGAATGCGCCTCGAAGGTTTCGGAACATGTGTCAGAGGCAAGGCAGGCCAGATTTGTTGCGTTGGCGAGGCGCACTCAAACCTCGAACCTCGAAGGGAGGGAACGTGTTCGTTATAACTTACCCGGACTAGATGGTACACTCCTCATATGGTGTTAAGATATTTATATGCATTTATGACTTGTGTTCTGGTGGATGAAGCCCTGTGAATGGTACACGTATTGCTATGATAATAGCGAGTTTGATGGCGGTGGCGCATGTGACGGTGACCGACAGGTTCGGCAATCTCATTGGTGGAGTGCAGACCGCCTTTTGTCGAGGTGGACGGTGAGGAACTTGTGGTACGGTGGCACCACCGCGCCTCTTGGTTCGGCAGTTAGATGGTTCGACCCGTCGCAGCCTTCTTATTCGCGGTCACACCTCCTCGCCAAGCCTGTTTTGGCTCGGTCTTTACACATAGGTGGCTCCCCAAACCACTCACCACAGCCTCGTCTCAATGGCGAGTCATCCACGCGGAACGTGGAGTGCAACGAAAGTTCCGCTCACGAGGCGCCACGTTCGCGTTGACCGACGACCACGACAAAAACATGGACCGCGGTGCGATGAATCCCTTGTCTGTTTCGGACGACACGGAGAGACGCTGCTTCGGAATCGGGTCCGAACCAGGGCGTCAGCCAATCAAATGCTTCTCTCCAGCCAGCCGGCCTGGTGTTTCCCCTCCCCCTGCACCCACTACCTTCTTCTCCACCCACAGTTTCCCCCGTTTCTTGCACTTCAACTTTCACCTCTTGTCGTCGCCATGGTAACAGAAGAAGCAGCGATAAAGGCCGCCGCCATTCTTGCGTGCCTGTGTGACTCTCCCACTCACTTGTCCAGAGTTTTCTTGCTTGCACGATATTATCGGCGCAGTCCCGTGCCTCAACCGTGTAGCTTCCTCACCCGGACTACACTTCCCGAGAGAAACCCCAAGTACTCTGACTACTTTTCTGTTTCAGCTTAGCTCGTTCGCACTCCCGAGGTTTCAAACACTCGCAGTCAGTCCGTCGCCATGTCGCTGTCAGAATTATGTAGCTTCCTCGACGTCCCTCCTCCATTTTCCACTCCCGCGCCCCGCAATCCCGCCCCGACGATCGGCCGCAAACCCCGCCCGCCCATGCTGCAAATCCCCGACATCACCCCTCCGCCGCTCGCCCCCAAGCCGCACCCTCTTTTCCACCAACCCCGCGCGCCTCTCCCCGTCCAGCCCGCCGCTCCCCCTGCCGGCCAGCCCCGCCGGCAGCGGCAGCCGAAGATTTGGGATCTGCTGCCGACGCCGAAAGCGACGGAAGAGAGCGGCAGCGGTTTCCGCTCGGGACACTACCTCTCCCAAGTGACGCCTGGCTATCCGCGTCGCCCTAGCGACCGCTCTGTCAAGTGTTACGCGCTTCACGTGCGAAACCAATCACTGTGTGGTAACCCGACGGGGCTCCGAGAGAGTTCTGCTGTCAAGGAGACTGTGAATCGCCGGAACGAAAGCATGACGAAGCCTTGGAATGGGGTTACCAGTCCACGACAAGGAGTGCACGCGATTGGCGTTCCAAATAATTTCCGCGAAGCTGCAGTCGAGTCAACCGACAGAATCAACGAGGTTAAGACGGTCAATGCTGTTCAAGAAGCAACAGGGTACGGAAACTTCTGGAAGGATGGGGAGCATAAGAAGCCAGGAGGCTTGTCTGTCTCGGCTCGATTTGCCAGCAGCGGGGTAGCTTGTAGCGAGACAGCCGTCGGCGGTGAGACAGCTTTCTATAGCGATGCATCTCATTACGAGCCAGAGGCGCGAAGGTGGGCAGTGACTCCCCAGGCTCCCGAAATCGCGTCTCGAGCGGCGGGAATCGCGCTGCAGGGGCGAGTGCTGTACGCTTCCGAAGCGCGCGGAATCCAGCAGGGACAAATGCAGCAGGAGCGAAAGCAGCAGGAGAAAATGCAGGAGGAGAAAATGCAGCAGAGGAGAATGCAGATTAGGACATACAGGGAAGCGCCTATCTGTGCTGCTGACCTGAACGAACTCCTGACGGCCGTCCTTGGTATCTTCTCTGATGCTTCCTCTGATAAGCCCTCCAAGTCATGGTTTTGGCGGTTGATGTCTGAGGAGGGAGAGGAAGAGCAGGAGGGGGAAGAGGGTGAGGATGGGAGCGCGGGGCAGCAGGGGAAGGCTGGGTCGGGACGGTTTGGGAGCCCTGCAGGCGTGTTGGAATACATAGGGTTCGGCGATGATGATGATGAGGAGGAGGAGGAGGATTGAGAGTATGAGGAGGACTGAGAGGCGGAGGAAAAGGAGGACGATGGCAGCTGTTTAATAAGAGCAGCGATGATGACAGGATTGCGGGATCATGCCAATAATTGGTGGCGACTGCTCGGCCTAAATGGACTACATTCAGTGTGGCAGATCTTGCGGCTGTGGGTGGCAGATTTGGCAGCGCCAGCTGTGTTGCTCCCCGAGCCACTCAGACCAGTAGGTTCCACAACTTGGTGGTGGTGGGGTACTTGCTAAGAGGTCTTTGATGGTCTGGGCCTGGTTGAAGGGATTTTAGTCAGGAGGACTGGATAGTAGGCATGAGGGTTTGATTAGGACATGAGGGCACGGCATAGATAGTCACTTTGTGTGGATATGCCAACCCTCATCCCCTAATCAAGACCCCATGTTTTGAATTGTTATTGTGTTGCCTGTAGCATGTTCGTGTGATTGTCTACTTGTTAAAATCCCAAGTGGGACTTAGCGAAGGATTGCTCAGGGTTGATCGCAGGGTAGTGTTGCAGCGGAAGTAGTGAACTCAGGTCAGAGTGAATGTAAATGACTGAGATTGATAATAGCATGCATACATTGAGTTTATATATAACGACCTAGACTAGCCATGTACTCTAAGGGGTACATTCCCTTATTACAGCGAAGTTCAAACCGTGTGGCGCGGGAACCCGTTTCAAACCTGTTCCCGCTCTTTTCACTTCGAATGTTTCTGCTTGCATCGGTCTTGATCAGACGGTTACCAGTGTTGCTTCGACTCTTCTGACTCCTCGGCTTCATACACTTTAGAGTCGGCCCCTGCAGCATACAGGAATGCCTTCTCGTAAAGTTTCATATCGTAACACTACAGAAACTTATTTTATTCCACAACCCACATTTCACAGCACCTGCAACACCATATGCAGCGCAAGGAGCAAAAACAGTCCTTCACAGTAATGGCATCACCCTGAACTGGCCAAGTACGGTAGTAGTAACAAAAACCGTATCAACAGTTAAGGGTCGGTCATCAACTACCGTACATTAAGCCTAATGAGCTATCAAGAAGTTACCCTATAATCGTTAACAAGGAGTTACCCTACAATATAATCTACAAGTGAGCTTCTAGTACCCAAGAGAGAGGGTGGGTTGGCCCCACGTTAGCTCAGGGCGAGAGTCACGCCCAGAGTCATCAGTTTTGAGAGGTCTCATTACCCAAGGGAGAGTGTGGACTGTCCCCACATCAGCTCAGGGCGAGAATCACACACACCCAGAGTCATCAGTTACCCAAGGGAGAGTGTGGACTGTCCCCACATCAGCTCAGGGCGAGAATCACACACACCCCAGAGTCATCAGTTTTGAGAGGTCTCAATACCCAAGGGAGAGTGTGGACTGTCCCCCCCATACAAGCTCAGGCCGAGAGTCACAGCCAGAGTCATCAGACGGAACAGGAGAGTCCAGAATGGATGCAGGGCTGTGGCCAGTCCCCTTGCGACACATGTCCAGGTCGCTTGACTGGCCTGAAAGGGTGGATCGGACACGCAGGTACGGCCGGCCCGGTTCAGTGCGGTTCTTAGCGGTGGTGCCTTGGCCAGGAGGCGTTGCAGATAACACCTCCCCCAGGTGCAAGCAGGACGCCGAAGAGAGAGGCTTCAGGGAACCCATATTGAAGGGAGGTGATGCGAGACCTCTCAGATTTACGGTAGTGGTGCCACACACGCTAGCATCAATAGGGCAACCCATATTGAAGCCACTCACGTTAAAGCCACTGATATTCCGGCAGCGCATGTCTGGGGAAAGCATGTGAGGGACAGCCATCAGGCGAACTGGCATGGCACCAGTAGCTTCCCCCCACTCCTCCACCCTGCTTTCACTTCCCCCCACCATTGGCTCTGCTGCTCCAGCAGCTTGCGCACATCCGTGTGACACTCGTTCAGCGCTGCTAAGTGACAAACCGCCATTGCTGCTTCCTGCGTTCTTTCTGCTCCCCTCATTCCCCAGCTCTTGCCTGTTTCGTCCACCAGGTACAGCCTCCCCCAGCAGCGCAGATGACACCTCCCCAAGAAACTCCAGCTGTCCCAGTACTGTCAGCCAGAAAGATGCCACGTGGGTCTGGATGGCTTCGCCGCTGATGGGGAGACACGTGGCGCGGTGGGATTTGCTGCGTGGATCTGCTTCAACCGCTGTGCCTTCGTCGTCGGTTCGCTCAGGCTCGGTGGGGACGGAGTGCATCCGCGTTATGGAGCTCCTGCTGCTTTGTACAGCGCGCTCCCCTGTTGGCGGAGCATGTATTACCATTGCGGGAACCCTCTGCGCATCTGGGGAAACGGGAAGCGGCGCAACGGCTGCAGATAGTGCGCGCACAGACACCCCGCGGATTGCATTCCGCGCGTTCCTCATCCCCCAATCCCGCCTCCGGTACCACCCTGGCGGAGGAGGCTTCCGCCAGTCTTCCCCCAGGACCGCACCCGATTCCGCAAGCCCTCCGCCGCCCAATGCCTGCGCCAGCTCCGCCGTTCCGCCCCATGGTTCCGCCATGCTTCGGGATGCGCGGGGCGTTTCGAGAGGCAGATCCGCGGGAGTAGAGGTGAAGGCACACGGGGGCGGCGGGAACCCGTCGGTCCGCGCGCGGAAGGGAGCAGGCTCGTCGATGGGCGGGGAATGGGGGGCTAGAGGCTGCTGCTTGCGGGGAGGCTCCGCGGAGAGGCTTGCGAAGAAATATGTGGGATCTGCGGGGATAACCGGATTAGTGGAACCTGTGGGGTAGTTTGCGGGGAAGGCTTGCCATGCGGGCTGCGTGGCGGGATCGCTGCATTTCCTGTCCTCTAACCCGTCGAATCGCTGCGCGGGGTGCGCCGCCCGTTCCGCTTGCTGCGCCAGTTGCGCGGATCGCCGCACGGGGAAGCCGATCGACGGCCATCGCTTCGGCCGACTGAGCCAGTCACAGCGAGCGCAATGGGCGGTGCCGCATAGCCCGCCGTTATCCGGGGAGCACAAGCCGCTTCGCCCGGGCGCGCCGCCCCCGCACGCGCCGTCACTACTAGGAGGCGCCTCGGGCAGTCCCGCGTCCGGTTGGGAGGCAGGCGGCAGCTCCGGCGGGAGATTGCGGAGTTGCTGCGCGAACTCGCGCTCAAGCGCGCGGTCATGGCGCAGATGAGGGGCGGGCGGGAGCTCGGGTTGGAGGTCCCAGATCTTGAGCTGCCGCGCGCGCCTAGGCGGGTCCCCCCTGCGCGCATGCCCCCCCCGCTGCTGTTGCGCGCGTGCCTGCAAGTGGTCGGGGCGCCGGTGAGGGGGCGGCGGAAGCGGAAGAGGGGAGGCTGGTGGAGGAACGACTTCAGGGATTAGAAGAACGCCTGGACGCGGCATGCGGCCAATAGGGGGCGCGGGGTTGTGCGCATGTTGTGTGCGCTCATGTCTCAGTGTTGGAGCGGGCTCATTGTGGGGCTGGCTGGATCGAAGCTTGTTGCCCTGCTGTTGTTCGTCTTGGGAAACTACGGCAGTTTGTTCCACGATGGAGTTCCAGGATGGAGCCATGATGATGGGAACCATCGATCAACAACCAGGATTATAAGATGAACCCTGGAAGTACTGCTGCTACATGTGCTGCTCTGCAGGAGTGAAAGGAGCAGAGCAAAACGAACGCTGGAATGCAAGGGAAGAATTTTCTGCTCATGCGATGGGTGTGTTGTGTTGGCGAGGAGGAGAGTGTGGAAGGGTGTGTGTGTGTGCTGTAAATCTTGAATGACATGGGATGGATGGGACCTGCATTCACGGAGGCGGTGCGATCACTTTTGCCTCGGGTTTGGAGTGAATTTGCGGCTCGGAATGGTTCGGAGAGATGCGATTCGGGATGACGCTAGCGGTTTTGCTCTGATCTGCCCGTCGTTCTGCTTTGTCAACAAACCGCTGCTCCGAGCTTCACGGCGCCTCTTGACTAACCCAGGCGGAGACCCGGTTTGGCGAGGAAAGGCTGGTTTGCAAGAGCCATACTGATGGTTCGGGCTAAGCCAGGCCTGGTTTGGCACCCCTCGAAGCTGGGCTTTTTTCTGGAGGAAGTGTCCCAGAGAGGTTTGTTGAGGACACGTGGCGTGTCAAGAGAGGTGTTTATTGCGATGTCCAACAACCATATCACCTTCCCCTTATAACGGGCCAAACCTACAAGGTATGGACCAGTTACGTACCGTAACTCCTAGAAAGCCTTTTCTGCGAACCCGTGGCTGATTTCCTTGCCTCTTTGCCTCGGAAGTCCCACTACTCGATACAAAAATCGATAATTGATATCGTTATGGTGTTCTCGTGTCTGAACATTATAATCCAGGAAAACTGGGTTACACATGGTAAAATCTACAGAGTTCCTCTGTAAACTCGTTTTCATATGTATTCAGGAAAATTGGGTTACACATCTTAAAACGAGCAGCAGCGGAAACAGTTTCATGTGTCAGGGCTAAGCTCCGATGAGGTATCGGACACGGGATTTTGGAGGACAGACGAAGGACTGCTATCCTGCAGCAGCCCTACACCCTTCCCAGTTAGAGTGGCAATGCTGGTGACAGTTGGACCAATAGCAGATGCAGGAGGAATCCCGGCACTGCTTGTTAGTGTAAGAGGCGTGGGTGATTGAGGGGCGATGAGCGAAGCAACGTCTCCAACCACCAATGCAACTTCTGCAGCAGCAGAGAGTAATGAGCCCCAGAGAGAGGCGTAATCCACTGAGCAGGTGCACGAGTCTCGGTGCTGCCTGGCTCGTGCGAAATCCAACGAAGGTTCAGCAACGGAGAGAGTGTAATCCTGCAGAGTCACGGGGCAAATGAGAGCGAGGAAGAAGTTGAGTTGAGTTCAGTATGAGGTGAATTCGCATAGCCATGTCCCCAGTCGGACTCTCGCACTCACCCGCGTTCTTTTCCCCACCAGACTTCCCAACCACTACCCCCTTAACCCTTTCCTCGCCCCCTCACTCCCTCCCTCTCTTCCTCTTCCCCATTCCTATCTCATGACATCCTGCCGTCCAATGGACACCCATGCGGGACAGCGAGAAAGGCACACATGAACAAGGTCGGGACGCACCTCAACAGGAACGCTGGAAGCAGCGGCGGCCCCCCCGGATGCCTCTCGCGCCGCGATTGGCGCCGCGGCTGACGACGCTGTCGACCCCTCGCGCGACTGCGACACCAGAGGAACTCGAGTCTGCGCAACCTGGACGGATTTAGATTCGGCGACGTTCCTGGGCTGCCGCGTGTCCCGCTTTTCCCGAACATTCGCGCTCGCGCTAAAATTCACTCGAATCTGCGGGATTTCCCCCGGCCTTTCCCCCCTCCGCACTGTTCCTACCCCGCGTGCAGCGGTTTTGGCGGAGCCCCACGTCGACAGATCTATAACGCCGCCAGCTCCAGCCGTCGGGAAACCGATTGACACCTGCCGACTAGGATTCCGCGGGGCCGGCTGCCAGAACGACGGCGCAAACGGCTGGACGTGAGGATGTGCGAGCGGGGCTGAAGGGACGTCCACGCCGGAGGATTGGGGAACCTTGTAGGGGCGCGGAGCAGGGAGGAGCTCGGGAATGAGGTCCCAGAGCTTTGGCTGCCGCGGCGGGCGCTGACGCGGCTTCCGCCCCTGCGCAGGCCGCGGAGCGGGAGGTGGCGCAAGAGACGGCGGACGAAACGAGGCGGCGGGCTCTGCGATGGGTGCGACTGGATGGCTGGAGAAGAAAACTGGCGGCTGGTTGAGCCACAGCGGTTCAGTGCGGATTTTCGGGAGCGGCGCGGAAGGGCGCGGGAGTTGGGAGGCGAGGGGGCGGGGCGTGGGCGGAGGGTTGACGGGTTCGGGGATGACAAGCGCGCTGGGTCGGGGTTTTCTGCCGAGCTGCGGGTGCGGGTTGGGCTCGGAGTGAACACGGAATTCCCAGAACGGAGCCATGGCGGCCAGCCACTCCGCGATGCGGTCAGGGTGGTTATAACGGATTTGTAGGATATGGTGGACAGGAAACTCTCTACGTGGAACTTTACGTGCAGGAAAAAGAAGTGTCGTGTGCGTGTGCCACCTTGTATACTTGTTGTGGCTGGTGAAAATGAGGTAGGTGTTGCTGGCTTGAGTTTGGGAGGAGAGGAGACCAGTAATTGTGCGGTTACTGCTGTGCTGTTGTCGAAGGGCAAGACTGCTTTGCCCCTTTTCCCCCTCTCGTGCCCCCGTGAAGGTGGGCGGAAAGGCAGATCTGCTCGACGGGTGGACTGTAGAAAGACCGTGCTGCGGTGGGGAGTGGAGGGGTAGCGGCGGAGAGCCCGAGGCATCTTGAACCACCCAACGTGGAGACGTTCGACTGCGATGCGAGTCGTCAACGAGGCGCAATATCTACAGTGCCAAGCGACGCGGGGACCTAACCCACGCTGCCGAACTGCCTGCCTCTTGCTTGACGGTGCGTCGTCTCGATGGTAACCAGTCGTGGCGAAATGTGCACTCCCTATCGAGATCCGCATCCGAAATTTGGTAAACGACAGATACATCGGGTTGCAGCCGACTTCGCTAGGCTGCGGCGGTGCAAGCCAACAGCCAGCAAATTCGCTATTCGCTAGGGTGGGTGACATCAGGAGTTGGTCGGGTACGGCTTGCTGTAGCACTGTAGCACATCTGGCTGAACATCTGATCTGGTGAACCAACAGGTTGTTCCCCATGGTTGGTTGATCGAAACGGAGAACGATCGTGCTGTGAGGTTGTTCTGACATAACCCAGAGACAAAACTCAGGCTTTGCGTTCATAAGATGACTCAATATACTGTTCGCGTCAACTTATCGAGAAGAGTTACAGTACAACAAAGCAGAAGTATCCACAAAATTCGCCATACGCGAGATGAGATGAGATCCACTTGGGAGTCTAGTTGCCCGCACAAGCAAGATCATGGAACGAAGCAAACCTCTTGGTTTCTCCTAAACTTCCAAGCCTTTTCCTCAAAACCCTAATTTCGTACTGCCTGAGCTTTCATTTCTTGGCCTGCGGTCTCGTCCTTCCAAGGTTAGCATCCCTAGTTTCTTAGTTGCGGTAGCCCCTGGTTATCTCGTTCGCTTTCGTTCCGTGTTTCGCGATTCCACCGGCGTTAGAGTTCCTAGGGTTAACGTTTATTTCCAGGAGCCATGGCTCATCGGTTGTTACGAGACGAGGACGCGGATGGCTGGGAGCGCAGCGATTTTCCGATCATCTGCGAGACTTGTCTTGGAGCGAATCCTTACGTTCGGATGGTGAGGCTCGGAGGAATTTCTCTCGTCGTCGAGTATCGTTTTCTTCTAAGTAGTCTTACTTTATAGAGGTTACCGCGGACACAGCGCCAGACGGGGTATTTATAGGAGGCAGCCGATCAGCCTCCTCTATTTTATGGAGATTGACGTAGTCCGGAGCTCCGGAAAAGTAACTATCTTGCAATTCGTTGCCGAACAGGCTCCTCTACTTTCTAGAGTCTCTTCTATACGGATCTCCTCGTTTCCTATCTGTTTCGTTCGCTCTCCTTCTTTCCTGCATTCAATTTGCTCCCTTGAACTCGCGGCTATTCCGTCGCGGGTTCTAATTTGTCGTCTTCCCGTGTGGTGCGTCGTCAGACCAAGGCGAGCTTCGACAAGGAGTGCAAGATCTGCACGCGCCCCTTCACGGTGTTTCGATGGCGGCCCGGCCGCGACGCGCGCTACAAGAAGACCGAGATCTGCCAGACTTGCTGCAAACTTAAGAACGTCTGCCAGGTCAGCACCGTGAATCTAATTTAATCTGATTTGATTTGATTTTTTACTTTTGACTGGATTTGGAATTCACCTCGTCTGCCATGTCAGCTCCGTGACCTTGAGTCGATCCATAATTCACGCTAGGTTCGTACTCGGTTCCTGTGCCACGAGCAATTGAGTCGGGCTTTGGATTTGGAGTACGGGCTGCCAGTGCAGGTGCGGGACACACACCCCCTCCAACCCCCATCCTCCTCCCTCTTCCCCCTCCCCCTTAATCCCTCCACCTCCCTCCCTTTCCCTCTCAGGTTTGCATGCTGGATTTGGAATACGGGTTGCCGGTGCAGGTGCGCGACTCCGCGCTGAACATCAACACCACGGACGCCATCCCGCAAAGCACCCCCTCTCTCTCTCTCCTACTCCATCTGCCCCCTCCCCATTCAGGTGTGCATGTTGGATCTGGAGTACGGGCTGCCGGTGCAGGTGCGCGACACGGCGCTGAACATCAACACCACGGACGCCATCCCGCAGAGCGACGTCAACCGCGAGTACTTCGCTGAAGAGCACGACCGGAAGGTGAGAGGAACACTGATGATGATTGTGATGTAAGGTAGCCTGCTGGCTGTTGGGTCGACTCAACGGTCACCTCCCGCCATCCCGCAGAGCGACGTCAACCGCGAGTACTTCGCCGAGGAGCACGACCGGAAGGTGAGCACGGCGGAAGGTGAGCACGGCGGAAGGTGAGCACGGCGGAAGGTGAGCACGGCGGAATCATCACCTCAGCGAAGTAACCCACCCTGCATCTGTCCTCACGACCGCAGTTGACCGCAAATCATCACCTTTCTCACTGCTGCTCCCTTTCCTGCTCCGGCCGCTGCCGCCGCTGCTCTCACTGCTCTCTCGTTGTTATTCTTGCTCTTTACCCCCCTCTCCCCTCCCCTCCCCTCCCCCCCCTCTCTCCCTCCCACCCCCCCACACCTTTTCCTCTGCAAACTCGCCCTGTCTGTTCGCGATTCGAAATTGTTTTTCCCTTTTTACCCCTTCCCTCACTCCCCCTCGCCTCCCTCCCGCCCCCCTTCTTCTGGCCCTCCTCCCCCTCCCCCCTCCTCTACCCCTCTCCCCCCTCAGGGTCGAGCGGGGCTGGACTACGAGTCATCATTCGGGAAGGCTGCGCCCAACGACCTCCTTTTGAAGCTGCAGCGCACGACGCCCTACTACAAGCGCAACCGCGCGCACATCTGCTCCTTCTTCGTGCGCGGGGAGTGCACGCGCGGAGCGGAGTGCCCCTTCCGCCACGAGATGCCCATTACGGGGGAATTGGCGCACCAGAATTTCAAGGATCGCTACTATGGGTACGTGTTGGATAGAACGAGTGATTTCTGTGTGGTGGAGGGGGGTGTCGTGTGGTGCAGTGTGGTGGGGTGGGATGCAAAGAAAGGGGGGGGGGAGGAGAGGAAGGGGCTGAGTGCCCCTTCCGCCACGAGATGCCCATCACGGGGGAATTGGCGCACCAGAACTTCAAAGACCGTTACTATGGGTACTTACGTGGGGGATAGAGCTGGGGATTGCACTGTGGTGGGGGGGTGGCTGGCGGCGGAGATGCCCACGCTTGCTCGCTCACCCATGTTTTCCTTTCCTTTTTCTCCCCTCTCCGCCCCATTCGATGTCCTCGCACATGCAGTGTGAACGACCCAGTGGCAAAGAAGATGATGTGGTTGGCAGCGGAGATGCCGTCGCTTGCCCGTTTACCCATGTCTTCCTTTCCTCTTCCTCCGCTCTCCCATGTCCTCACTCTCCTCCCCTCCTGTCTGAACCCTTGTCATTGTAGTGTGAACGACCCAGTGGCAAAGAAGATGATGCGGCTGGCAGCGGAGATGCCGTCATTCACCCGTCCCTTTCCCATCTTTCCCTGTCCCCTCCCTCCCCACTAACCCCCCATCTCTCCTGCTGTCCCCCACGTGCTGCAGCGTGAACGACCCAGTGGCAAAGAAGATGATGTGGTTGGCAGCGGAGATGCCGTCGCTTGCCCGTTTACCCATGTCTTCCTTTCCTCTTCCTCCGCTCTCCCATGTCCTCACTCTCCTCCCCTCCTGTCTGAACCCTTGTCATTGTAGTGTGAACGACCCAGTGGCAAAGAAGATGATGCGGCTGGCAGCGGAGATGCCGTCATTCACCCGTCCCTTGCCCATCTTTCCCTGTCCCCTCCCTCCCCACTAACCCCCCATCTCTCCTGCTGTCCCCCACGTGCTGCAGCGTGAACGACCCAGTGGCAAAGAAGATGATGCGGCTGGCTGCCGAGATGCCGACGCTGGAGGCACCGGAGGACACGACTATCAAGACGCTGTTTGTTGGGGGGGTGGACTCACGCGTCACAGAGGCCGATCTCAAGTGAGAGCTGTGGTGTGGTGCGGTGAGGTGGTGTGGTGTGGTGTGGGGTGGGGTGGGGTGGGGTACGGTATGCTACGGTGTGGTGTGCATTTCACCTCCCACCACCGGAGGACACGACTATTAAGACGCTCTTTGTTGGTGGGGTTGGCTCGCACGTCACAGAGGCCGATCTCAAGTGAGTGGTGTGGTGCGGTGTGGTGTGGTTGGTATGGTGAGATCCTGTTGCAAAGAAGATGATGCGGCTGGCAGCGGAGATGCCGTCGCTGGAGGCACCGGAGGACACGAGCATCAAGACTCTGTTTGTTGGGGGGGTGGACTCTCGCGTCACAGAGGCCGATCTCAAGTGAGTGCTGTGGTGTGATGTGGTGCGGTGCGGTGTGGTGGGGTGGTGCGATGTGGTGGGGTGGTGCGATGTGGTGCGGTGTGGTGTGCATGTCACTTGTTAGCATCGGAGGACACGAGCATCAAGGCGCTCTTTGTTGTTGGCGTCACTCCGCCCCTCGTCCCTCGCCGCACCCCCCTCCCCTCTGGCAGGACAAGTTTTACACGTTTGGGGAGATCGAGTCAATCCGTCTCATCACCCCGCTCAGCTGTGCCTTCATCACCTTCTCCACCCGTAAGGAGGCCGAGAAGGCCGCTGAGGGGATTTGCTGCTAACCGCTCCCCTGACCCCCCCCTGCCCTGTCGCCGTGCAACCTCCACCCTCCTCCTCCCTGTGTGCATGGCAGGGACAAGTTCTATGCGTTTGGGGAGGTGGAGTCCATCCGTCTCATCACCCCGCGCAGCTGTGCCTTCGTCACCTTCTCCTCCCGCGAGGAGGCCGAGAAGGCGGCTGAGGGGCTGGCCAACAAGCTCATCATAAAGGGGATCAGGCTCAAGCTTGACTGGGGGCGACCCAAAGCAGAGGCTTTGGAAGGAGGGGGAGATGGGGGAGGGAAGCGGTTGCTGGAAGGGGGAGAGAAGGGAGGGGGGGGAGCGGGTGGGGGTGATGGAGGAGCGGGAGGAGAGGGGGCGCAGGGGGGAGAGGGGGGAGACGGAGGGGGGTCGGGTGGTGCGGCTGGGGGGAGTGGTGCGGGAGAGGGTCCGGCTGGTGGCAGCTTCGGGTTGCTGCCTCGGGCTGCAGCAGGTTCGGCGGCAGGCTCGGCGGTAGGTCCGGCGACGTCTGCTTCTATGTATCCATCCATGAACCCTGAGAGGATGGGGGCACGCACTCGCAACAGGGAGGGGGAAGGAGGAGGGGGAGGTGGGGGAGGGGGAGAGGGAGGAGGAGTGGGAGGAGGAGGGGGTGGCGGTGCTGCTGGTGGTGGTGATGCATCTGCTGCTCCACCGTTCCAATACCCACCTCATGCCTACCCTCCACCTGGCCACGCCCCCTATCCTGCCCCGTACCCTCCCCAGCCCTACCAGCCTGCACCAGGTATGCCTCCCCCAGGTGCCCCAGGGCCGTATCAGCAGCAGCAGGGTGGGTATCCGGGATCATACCCTCCTCCTCCCATGGGTTACCAGCAGCAGCAGCACTATCAGCAGCCACAGCAGCAGCAGTATCAGCAACAGCCATACATGCCTCCCCCCTCTCAGCAGTATGCACCACAGCAGGGTCCCCCACCCCCGTACCCAGGTGGTCCGTCAGGTGGCCCTCAACAGTACCCAGGTGGTCCTTCAGGTGCCCCACAACAGTACCAAGGTGGCCCGCAACAATATTCAGGTGCCCCTCCAGGTGCTCAACAACAGTACCCAGGTGGGCCTTCAGGTGGCCAGCAACAGTACCCAGGTTTCCCCTCAGGTGCACCACAGCAGCAGTATCCCGGACCTCCACCCCAAACCTACCCTCCCCAACATTACCCCGGGCCAGGGCCAGCAGGTCCGGGGCAATATGGCCCTCCTAGGCCTGCTACCGGACCTCAGGGTTAGTCTTGATCCGATATGATTGGATATCATATGACGTTATCTGATCCGGTGTAACCAAATTTTGCACAAGCCTGCAGCCACGCAGGGGGGTTACTACAGATGTGGGGAATTAAGGGGGGTGTATGATTGGGGTACGGTTTGTGAGAGGTGTGCGTGTGTATGTAGGGTTGGGTTGAGAGGTTGGCGGATGAGCTTCTGGTGGTGGAATGCGGTTAGCTGGTCGGTGGAGCTGATTTGCAAGGGGAAAAGTGGTTGTACACTACCCTGCTTCCAGTGAGTTGATTGGAGAGTCACTGGTACCTGTGGAGTTGTATGCTGAGCACCGGTTTTACTCCAAAACCCTATGCTGAGTGGGTCAGGCATGCAACTGTTTTGCACACAATCAAATCTTCAGAAGCATGATGAACGCACTAGTGAGGGAATGGTAAGGTAAACATCATCTACTACAAAGCACAGCATTGGCTACTCTGTTTATTTCCGTTCACATCCTACGGTATTGCATGATTCTCACATCTCCCAAGAAACCTAGTGCCAAGCCAAGCAGCCACGCACATGTTTGCCATCATGAGGCATCGGCAAGGCCTGGGTCTCCCCGGCCCGTCACAGATTCTTCGTTTGACGACATGCCATGCCATGGTAATATGTTGCAGTTGAAACAACAGAAGCGCGGTTACAGTAGCAGGAATGTGGTTACAGCAGCAGGAGAGCAGTGAGAGAGCCAGGCGTATTTTGAGGCGCCTCAAAATACACCTCACTGCACAGGAATGTGGTTACAGCAGCAGGAGAGCGGTGAGAGCCAGGCCAATGGAGACAATCAGGTGGAAGATGGAAGCAGTGGCTCCTGCAGGGGAATGGGAGAACCAAGGAGCGGGGAATTAGGGCATTGTGTGGAGTGGAATTATCAAGCTGCGTGACTCAAATGCACCATGCGTGCGTGCGTGTGTGCGCACATGTGCATGTGTGCGTGGGTGTGGTGGAGGCGCGCGTGGTCTCTTCATGTCTGCATACCTGCATACGCGCTAAGAGCCTCCATATTATAAGGGAAAAGCAGCGCGTGGCTCTTATACACCACGACCTCGCTCTCCGGAAAATCCTGTACGACGTCTCCAGCGTCCTCCTCCGCGTATGCAAACGGGGTCCCATGGGTTTGCACAGAGCCCTGGACTACAGGCAGCGTAGATCTGGCCTGCTGCTGAGGAGAGGATCCGGAGATGTTCCACGTGCCGCCGTACAGAGGAGAGTATGTCATCCAGAGCGGCTGCCCCTCCAGGGTTGGAAGCTCCCATGGCCCGCCAGATGAGTACTGCTTGTAGGATAGAGGGGGGATGATTGAGAGGCGAGGACGAAGACAGAGGATAGAGGTAGAGATGATCCGCGTCTATCGAGTATTAAGAAAAAGAAACGGCCCTGCTAGTTCTGCTACCATACGATGATTATCTCTCACGGATGGAGTTATGAGTGACTCACGAAAGAAAGAAAAAACGTGACGCTTTTCGAACTCATATATAAGAAAATCCAGCGGTGGCTCAACTTCACTTTCAGAGGCTCACCTTCTGCGTCGCGACGGACGGCGGAATGTACTGCTTCACGATCTGAAACTTCCAGAGATCCGAGAGCACTTTGGTGACAGCAGGGGAGAGTAAGCTCGGTGCGACCGATCCCCACACTTCTGGCGAGCTGTCGGCTACATCCATGACCCTGAGCGCGTCTGCGATCGCCGGGTTGTACTTGCGCGTCGAGTTATCAAGCCTGGCGTAGACTGCCGCCGAGGGAATCTCGTCGGACCGTGGTACGAGTATCGTCACGCCTGAGATGTCTTTGGTGCCGTCGAGCGCGAACAGACGCTCCATGAGAGTATCTTGAACGTCCTTCGACTTCAGGGCTGTTATCAGATCGCTCACGGGCATGGCATGGGTGGCTGTGAGCAGCTGGGTTAGCAGCGCCACAAGCAGCAGTGCCACGGCGGCGCTGGAAATCTGTAGGAAAAATGAACGTCCGGCCATCGCGTTTGTCTGGAAGCAGGAGCGCGTGTGCTAAATTCCTTGTTACACACCGAAATCTGTAAGTAGTCAGGAAATGAGTCTCTGAAAAGAAAGAGAGAGAATAGAGAGAGGGGTGGTGGTTGCGGGAAGGATGGAACTTTGGGACGAAAATGTGAAGAAATGACGAGACCTTTTATGCTCGGCGTGACAGCCACTCCGAGTCGCGGAGGATGAAGGCAATCTTGGATGCACATTGCACAACAAGAAACTTGCTTGCGCGAATTGTTTGCGACGAATGTCTCCGATTCACGACGAGGTACTCGATGCTCGTCGATGCCATTCCTCGAGTCTTGCCTTGTCAGCAGTGCAGGGTTGCTCGCCGGGACCCCTCCACAGATGGTTGACCCGCACAGAACGGGCCAGCGCAACTGGTTCGGGCGTAGTTGGCCATTCACACATCGGCACGTATTTGGCAGCCGCATTCGGGGTGGCCCGTGCGTTGCCCTGCTGGCATGACCCTTTGACTTGACAACCTGGACCACAAAGAAATAGCATCCTTACGAAGCGACCCGGCTTGACTGTTCTAAAGGCGAAAAAGACTTTCAATCAATACACTCAACAATCCATTTTAAGCAAGCCTAGATGAATCTCTAGCAAAGAAAGTTGATCTGAAAAACTCCAGACACTTGCAAATCCATGCAGAATGCATAAAAGCTCGGAGAAGAGAAGCAGGTGGGCGAACGCACACTAGGGACATGGCAGAAGACACCGCAGTAGAAGCCGCTGTGAATGCCGGCTGCAGTAGCTGGAGAGTCGGCATTTGCAACTGGGACCTGAGGTGAAGAATGGAGTGGGAAGGCAAAAGGAAAAACAATGCACACCCCCTTAGATTTTTTTATACACTCACGGGACCTGAAAAAACAGGTGCAGATAACTTTGGGGAGTATGTGTGTGCCTGTGAATGGGAGGGAAGGTATGGTTGTGGCAAGTGGGTATGCGCGTTCGTGCTTGTGTGAACGTGTAAGCAAGCACATGTCAGCATGAACCACACTTGGTCGATTCTAGCAACAAGCAAACAACACAGCCAGCCAGCCAGCAAGCTACCCAGCACAACCCAGAGAGCCACACCTGGAATCGGGCGGTAACCAGCCGTTGACGTAACGCGCAAAGAGGAGCGCATCGTACTCGCCCCCTTCCAGGTAGTAGAAGCGGGAGAGGCGGCGGCGGTAGCAGAAGCGCAGCGAGCGATAGAAGCGGATGGCGGGTGCGTTGTATGCGACCACGTGCAGGTAGACGGCGGCGCAGTGCGGGAGGGACGAGGGATGGGAGAGTAGGAGATGCACCAGGTGGGATGCTGCGGGGGAAGGGGGGTGGGAAGAGGAGGGACAAGTGGTGGGAGGGGAGGGGAGGGGTGCGACAGGCTTTTGAAGTAGCAGGGAGACAGGGAGGAGGCATGGGAGAGCAGGAGATAGGAGATGCAGGTGGGATGGTGAGAGCGGTAGAAGCGGATGGCGGGTGCGTTGTATGCGACCACGTGCAGGTAGACGGCTGCACAGTGCGGGAGGGAGGCGGCGTGCGAGAGCAGCAGATGCACCAGGTGGGATGCTGTGGGGGACGGGAGAGGAGGGGGCCAACCGGTGGGAGGGGAGGGAAGCGGACGGGGAGACAGACTTTTGAAGTGGTGCAGGAGCAGTAGCAGAGAGAGAGAGGAAGAGGTGTGGGAGAGCTGGAGATAGGAGATGGAGCAAGAGGGATTGTGCGAGCGGTAGCAGAAGCGCAGTGAGCGATAGAAGCGGATGGCGGGTGCGTTGTATGCGACCACGTGCAGGTAGACGGCCGCACAGTGCGGGAGGGAGGAGGCATGGGAGAGCAGCAGATGCACCAGGTGAGATGCTGTGGGGGCAGGGAGAGGAGGGGCAGGTGGTGGGATGGGAGGGGAGGGGTGACAAAAGCTTGTGAAGTAGCAGGGAGAGAGAAGAGGCGTGGAGAGAAGCAGATAAGAGATGCACCAAGTGGGATGCTGCGAGTGGAGGCGGATGAGGAGAGGTACACGATGGAAGGATGGCCAGATTGACAATGGCGATGCTGGGAGTGAGGATGTAGACGAGAGACAAAGGAGAGGTCGCTAGATCGATTCTTGAGGCGCCTCAAAAAGAGAGAATCTGAAGAGAGTTTGAAAGTAAAAGACTATGCTTACCCACGCCAGCCTTGCGGTAGGGCTTGGAAACACCGAGCGTGAGGATGTAGAGGAGCGAGGGTGATGGTGTGTGGTGGGGCGATGGAGGAGCCAGAGGAAGAACGTCCGCTCCCTGAGAGAGAGATGGTGGGGAGAGGGAGACGAGTGCAGGGGAGAAGTGTGTCGGGGAGGTGAAGGCAAGTGTAGAGAAAGTGAGAGAGTGAGGGGAATGCAGATGTTGGTATACACAGCAGACGCAGCAGGAAGCTAGATAATGAGTTGACTCAGGCTACACCCTCCCCCTCCTTCCTCCATGCTCCTTCCTCCCCCCTTCCCCCCCTTGCTCAACGCCTCCCCGTGCCACAGAGCACCACCAGGTGGGCAGTGACGACCCCCCCCCCCGCCCAGCCGGTCAGGCTCTCAGGAACCAAGTCCCTCAGACTGACACGGGTCAACTGCACCTTGACGGTTCATCCTCGCACATGCACACACGCTGCACTGCACCCCATGTACCATCCCACCCCTTCCCCCCTCCCTCTTCCCCTCCTGCCACACTTCACCTGTGCCTTTGCAGGTGTCACGATGCGGACAGTGACAAATACCACCAGCCTGTCAGGCTTGCAGGGATGCAGCGCGCCCCATGAGATGATGCCCTTGTGGTACATCCACCACCCATCCACACATCCCTCACCCTCAAATACCATGCACCCCGTGCTCCCCCTTCCCCCTCTTTTACCTGCGCCTCTGCAGGTGGCACAAGGCGCGCAGTAATGAACCCCACCAGCCGGTCCGGCTTGCACGGATCCACCGCACCCCACGAGATGATGCCCCTGTGATGCACCACGTTGGAATAGAACTCTGACTCGTACCTGATGGACAGGGAATGGGGGCGGGACGGGAGGGGAAGGAGTGAGGGAAGGGTGCCTCTAACATTGCAGTGCTGCTCACAGCAATGTTAGAGGCACGCCCCACGAGATGATGCCCCTCTGGAAAACCGAGCTGTCCCCCCACATTGCTGTAGAAAACCGAGCTGTTTTCTAGCTGATAGCTGACGGGGGGAGCAGGTGGGGGGGAAGGCGGGGGGGAGCAGTGGGTGCAGCAATCTCACGCGATGGGGAAAGTGGCGTTAGGGAGGGGCTTGAGATCCGCGCTGTCCCCCAGGGTGGTGTTTTGAGTCGACTCAAAACACGACACAGGGTGGACACTTAGACGTGCGCACATCTTACGCAATGGGAGGGTGATAGAGGGAGTTGGCGAGTGAGTTTGAGGTGTACCGAATGTGGGTGCAGAATGCTTACGCGATGGGGAAGGTGGCTTCATGGAGGGCTTTGAGATCTGCCATGTCTCCTGGGGTGATGGCACGATAGGCCACACTGGGGAGTGAGGAGGACGAGAAGGAGGAGGAGGAGGGCGGATGGGATAGTCCCTGCTGCTGCTGATGCTGCTGTTGCTGTTGGTGCTGATGCTGTTGCTGCTGCTGCTGCTGCTGTTGGTGCTGCTGCTGGTGCTTCTGCTGATGCTGTTGGTGCTGCTGCTGGTGCTGCTGCTGATGCTGCTGGTGCTGCTGCTGGTGCTGCTGGGGCTGACAGCATGTGCAGTGAGTGCAATGCGGGCAACAGCGATGGTCATGTGGATGATTGGCATGTCTATGGCTGACAGCGGCAGTGCTGGTGTGACTGTAACGAGAAGAAGGCTGCTGCGAGCCCGGTGCAGAGAAAACAGCAGGAGAGGAGGCAGGCGGGAGGCGTGAGGAGATGGGAGGGCGAGGAGAGGAGGAGGAGGAGGGTCGAGAAGAGGAGACGTGAGTGGGAGCAGGAAAAGTGGCAGGGGACAGCTTGTAGGCGGGACGAGGGGACCCGGGCCTTCGAGGCGGCTCAAAAGTGGGGCGAGGGGAACCAGGAGAAGGGCGAAGGGAGTCAGAGCAAGGAAGTGACTGGCATGTGCTCACACTGTGTGGGTTGCCCTGACAGGACCTCTGAGGTGTCTCAACACAGGGATGGGCGAGACAGGTATGGGATTGACAGGTATGGGATGGACAGGATTGGGATTGACAGGTATGGGATTGCCAGGAATGGGACTGACAGGTATGCAATTGACATGTGTGGGATTGAGACGTATAGGGTTGGAAGGTATGGGAGTGAAGGGTGTGGGACTGACAGGGATGCGGAAATGGATGGTGCGTGTTGCTGCACTGACAGGCGTTGTGTGAAGCACAGTGGGGAGGTGCACCCAGAGGGGCGCAATGAGAGGAGGGAACGGTATGAGAGGAGGCGGGATGAGAGCGAGCGGAATGAGAGGAGGCGGAATGAGAGGAGGCGGAATGAGAGGAGGCGGAATGAGAGGAGGCGGAATGAGAGGAGGCGGAATGAGAGGAGGCGTAAGTTGGGCATGTGGCAGCGAGGCAGCAGGGCAGAGGGGGGGTAAGGGGCGCTGGCGCAGTGGTGGCGGAGGAGGGAGTGGGAACCAAGGCGGGAAGAGGCAAGGGAGGGCCGGGATGGGATGGGTGGGTGGGCGTGGGTGGCAGGAGGAGGTGGGGGAGGCAGGAGGTGGAGGCGGAGGCGGAGGTGGAGGTGGAAGCGCATGGGAGGAACTCTGCAGGAGAGGTGTGGGGGAGCGATGCACCATGCATACCTGCTCCATTCATTCCATCACCATTCATCCCTCCACCATGCAACCATGCAACATTCACCCCTCCAGCATTCACCCCTCCCTCATCCACCCGTCCACCATGCACCCCTAGAGGGTCCGCCTCTAGAGTTCGCATCAGCGCCGCATCCCATCCCTCGGGGTGCCTGTGGAGGGACGGCGACAGCTCCGCCACGTGGCGCGCTGCCATTGGAGCGCCGCCATCAGCACTCTCCACAGTATCAAAACTCGTCCCCCCTGAAGCACGCTGCTGCTGCTCTCTAGGCGCCTCAAAGGCCGTCTCCGTCTCCCCATAGGAACGCTCAAAGTCCGGTTGAGACTGCGCGGGCAGGGCAGAGTACCCCCCTTGCTGCTCGTGCCAAGCACACTCGTGCAGTTCTTGACGCGCCTCTAGAGTCGTCTCCCGCGAAGCATGCTCCTGCGGCTGAGACTGACAACGCAGGGCAGAGTACCCCCGTTGCTGCTGCTGCCAAGCACAGCCCTGCAGGCCTGCTGCAGACCCCTCAAAACTTGTCCCCACTGAAGCATAATCCTGCGGCTCTAGAGACGCCTCAAAGGCCGTCTCCCCGTACGAATGTGGCGGCGGTAGAGAGGGCAGTGCAGAATAGATCCCCTGTGGCTCATGGAAGGGAGCATGCTCCTGTATCCTACTCCCCTGCGGTCCTTCTTGAGATGATGCTTGCATCCCTATAGGTGGACGATCGTGAGATTGTTGTAACCCTGTTACACTAACCCTAATCTCAGGCGAACTACATGCTGCATGGCGAACTGCTCCCCCCTCGCTCGTCCCCGCTATAGCATGAGGAGCTACACTACATCTTGTCTCTATACTGTTTCTAACACAGTTCTCTGTACTCCCTGAATCTCCCGGCGAGTCTGATAATCTAAGCCCTCTGGTCCTATGCGAAACCCAATCGATCTCGTATGAATATTCCCCATCCCTACCTCCCTTTCCTGCCCTATCACCCATGCGATCTTCATCTCCCTCCTTACCACCCATTCCAACGCCATTGCACCACGCATCACCGCTGTAAGAATCTGCCCCCGAGTCATGCGTCCCCCCTCTTCCCGCGCCATCCCCCCCCACTCTCCCCGCGCCATCCCCCCCCTCGCAGCTGCGGCTGGTGAATTCGTTGGCGGCCCGCCACGCGCTGACGTCATTCCGCCGCATGCTGACGTGGCGGCTGCCATCCACCTGCCGGCTGAAAAGGGGTCGTCGTGAAGACAAGCGGGAAAGAAGTGAAAAATTATTAGTCACCGCAAAGGGGTATTTCGAGGTTTCTTGAAATCCGCAAAAACGAAGCGGCCTGCTTCGCCTGCCTTCGCCTACTAGTTACACCGCATGTCGAACTTCGCAATCTGACCCTCCCGTTCGGAAACCTAGCTCACCTGCAGAACAGCGCCAGCACTACTCCTTCGCCTACTTCGCCTGGATGCTGTACCGCTTCTTGAACTTGAGGAGTTAACTTAAAACAATCGTCCAGTTCAGACAACACGATAAGTACAACTGCTGGTGAAATACCTGCGTAGCTGCGCCAGCTCTACTCCTTCGCCTCCTTCGCCTCCTTCGCTTCTTTCGCGTCCTTTGCCTGGATGTTGTATCGCTTGTTGAACTTGGCGATCTGGCCCTCCGTCTCCGCCTTCTTGCCCGGGTCGCGGATGTAGAACGGACGGTCGGATTTGAACACCTGCGCGGACAGCACGCGCACGAGGCGGCCCTGCGGCGTGACGAGGCTGAGCCACTGCAAGGCAGGATGGATTCCCTTCTTCATCGCACTCGATCCCGCCCGTCGCTCCCAGGCGACAGCAATAGTCCCGACTCCGAATTTACGGGTTTTCGCAAGAGGGATTTCAGCGCATAACGCGGGAGGGAGTGAGGCGGAGAACCCGAGGAGGATCTCTGATTGCAAGGCTGGGGAAGAGATTGCTGTTTGGTTCGGAGGTCCGAGGAGGTAGGGTCAGGAATCAAATCAGGGGCTTGTTCCGTGTGAAAACCGTTCTCGTTTCGAAATTCTAGTTCTAGAGTGGAAAATGTTTTTACTCCTAGAAGTTTGCTACTCGTATGCAAAACTTCACGCCAGGTTTGATTACGGGGTTTTGATTTCCTCGAGTCAAACTTCCACTACACGGTCACCTATAAAAAGGGAGCATCGAACATTGCCGATGCACTGACTCGCCCAACTGCCCAGATCCATGCCATACTACTCGCACAGACCAGCCCACTACTGACAGGCCTATTTACCCACGGATATCAGACAGACCCCTTCTTTACCGGAGGCAACTCGCAGCAGTTTGTCAAATGTTGAACATTGATATGATAGGCTATAGTGAGTTGCACTCTAGGGGGTACAGCTTCTAGGGTTGCTCATTTGTACCCCATTCGTTTCTATTCCAATCATTCCGTTGTTCGCTAACTTTGAGATGGTATCATGAGTAAGTGTCGATCCTCTCGCCTAGCCTAGCCTAGCTCGCGCCCTAGCGCCCTCCGCGCCCTTGCGCCCTAGCACACTCCGCGCCCTCCGCGCCCTCCGCGCCCTTGCGCCCTAGCACCCTCCGCGCCCTCCGCGCCCTCCGCGCCCTCCGCGCCCTCTGCGCCCTCCGCGCCCTCCGCGCCTTAGCCACCGCGCCCTCCGCGCCATCTCCGCGCCTTAGCGCCCTCCTCCTCCGCGCGTTAGCGCCCTCCGCGCCCCTAGCCTGCGCCCCTAGCCCGTCGCCCAGGCCCACGCCCTAGCCCGTCGCCCAGGCGCCCGCCCTAGCCCGTCGCCCAGGCGCCCGCCCTAGCCCGTCGCCCAGGCGCCCGCCCTAGCCCGTCGCCCAGGCGCCCGCCCTAGCCCGTCGCCCAGGCGCCCGCCCCAGCCCGTCGCCCAGGCGCCCGCCCCAGCCCGTCGCCCAGGCGCCCGCCCCAGCCCGTCGCCCAGGCGCCCGCCCCAGCCCGTCGCCCAGGCGCCCGCCCCAGCCCGTCGCCCAGGCGCCCGCCCCAGCCCGTCGCCCAGGCGCCCGCCCTAGCCCGTCGCCCAGGCGCCCGCCCTAGCCCGTCGCCCAGGCCTGCGCCCTAGCCCGTCACCCAGGCGCCCGTCCTAGCCCGTCGCCCAGGCCTGCGCCCTAGCCCGTCGCCCAGGCGCCCGTCCTAGCCCGTCGCCCAGGCGCCCGTCCTAGCCCGTCGCCCAGGCGCCCTCCCTGGCTCGTCACCCCAGCCCCGCAGGCAGCGCGCCACGCGGGTAGCGCGCCCCGCGGGTAGCGCGCCCCGCAGGAGGCGCGCCCCGCGGGTAGCGCGCCCCGCAGGCAGCACACCCTGCAGGCAGCGCGCCCCGGGGTGCTTTAGTGCCAGAAAATAAATAAATAAATTAAACCCTAAAAAAAAAAAAAAAAAAAGGGGGTTCACAGTGGGGGCCTGCGACTGTCGCCCGCGTTCCTGCTTGCCGGACGACCTGCACAGTTGCCTACATCCCGCAGCCGTCAGTACTGCAGCCCCTACTGTCGCACGTACTTTCCACTGCCAGTGGCTCTACTAGCGGCAGCCGACAGCCGCACTTACGGTCTCTAGCCCCGGCCGTTCCTACCTCCAGCCAGCCCTAGCTCGCCGCTTCTAGCTCCAGCCGTTCTCGCTCCAGCCGTTCTCGCTCCTCGCTCGTAGCTCAGTTTGCTCCGTGCTCCGGCCGTTCCTCGCCTAGTTTCACCTGGCGCTTCTAGCTCAGTTTGCTCCGTGCTCCAGCCGTTCCTCGCCTAGTTTCACCTGGCGCTCCTAGCTTAGTTCGCTCCGTGCTCCAGCAGTTACTCGCCTGGTTTCACCTGGCGCTCCTAGCTTAGTTCGCTCCGTGCTCCAGCAGTTACTCGCCTGGTTTCACCTTGCGCTCCTAGTTGTTCTCGTTTTTCACAGCAGCCTGTCGCTCCTGTCGCTCCTAGCCTGCCGCTCCTGCACCCCGCTAGCTTTTATCATGGAGTCCGCTAGGGTTCTCCAGCAGCAGGGACAGCAGCAGCGGCCTTTTCAGCAGTGGCTTCCGCAGCGGCAGGGGCGCCCTCAGCAGCTGTGGCGCCCTCAGCAGCCATGGGGGCCTGGTGGTTCAGGTCGCGTTGGCTGCAGCAGCGGCCCAGCCAGCTGGGGGGCTCGTCGCGGTGGCCGCGACGTCGGCCCCTGCCAGTACCGGATCCTGACCGGCCCTGGTGCTGGCACTACCTGCTGGCGTCCTGACCACTCTGCACAGCGTTGCTACAGCCGCCTCGACGACCTTTACCGTGAGCGTTTTGGGCCTGAGTCGGCTCCCCCGATCTGGCCCGGTCTGTTTCGTAGTGGTTTCCCTGTGTTTGATATGTCTATGGATGCTGTTTATTCTGTCACGTACGGATCTCTTGGCTTACGTGTACCTAGCTTAGGACCTTTGCCTGTTGCTAGTGTCGGTACTTGTGCTTTTAGTGTAGGTGCTTGTGTAGTCACTAGCCCAGCCGTGACGACTGCTGTTGCGTCGCTCTCCTTCACGCTGGACTCCGGCGCGTCTCAGTGTTTCTTCCGCGACCACACCACTGTCACACCTCTTTCGGCTCCAGTCCCAGTTGCCCTGGCTGATCCTACTTCAGGACCAGCAGTTGCTCGTAGCTCGACCACCCTCCCGTGCCCGGCTGTCCCCTCTGGTTTCCTCACTGGTCTCTACATCCCCTCGTTCTCTCGGAACTTGGTGGGTGTTGGATACCTTCAGGACCGGGGGATCACAGTCACTTTTCCTGCGCACGGGAGGACAGCGATCTGTACGGACTCTTCCACCGGGGCAGTTCTTGCCACGTTCACCAGAGAGCCCCACTCAGGTCTCTTCGTCCTGCACACTCCGCCCCCGCAGGTAGCTGCGTCTGGTCAGGTTGCTTCGTCCCCCCCGGTAGCAGAGTCCGGTCAGGTGGCTGTGTCCAGTCCGGTCGCTGTGTCCAGTCCAGTCGCTGCGTCTTGCTCCTGTCGCTCTCTCGCCCACCGCACCGTCCTGTGGCACCACCGTCTTGGCCACCCGTCGATCCCTCGCCTTCGTGGCATGCTCAGTCAGGGACTAGTCACAGGTCTCCCACGCACCTTCCCGTCGCTCCCTCCCTCGCTTGCCCCTCCTTGCTCTCCGTGCGTCGCCGGTCGCTTACGTGCCACTCCCCACTCCTCCTCCCTTCGTCCGGCCACCGCTCCCTTCGAGACTCTCCACTTGGACGTCTGGGGCCCTGCCCCGACGCAGGGGTCTGGGAGGGAGCGCTACTTTCTGGTGGTCGTCGACGACTTCTCCAGGTACACCACAGTGTTTCCTCTTGCGAAGAAGTCCGAGGTGACTGCTACGCTGATCAGGTGGCTTCTAGCCACTGAGGGCACTCGTGGTCGTCGAGTCAGTTGTCTTCACTCCGACCGTGGGGGCGAGTTTCGCTCCGGCATTCTCGGCGGATTCTGCGGCGAACAGGGCATCACCCAGTCCTGGACGCTGCCAGAGTCCCCACAGCAGAATGGGGTTGCTGAGCGCCGCATAGGCTTGGTCATGGACATCGCCCGCACGTCCATGATTCATGCCCGTGCGCCCCATTTTCTGTGGCCTCACGCGGTTCGCTACGACGCACACCAGCTGAATCTCCAGCCGCGTGTCTCGCGGCCCGAGGCTTCACCGACCAGTCTCTGGACTGGATCCCCTGGTGTTGGGTCGGCCTTTCGAGTCTGGGGCTGCCTTGCACTTG